TGTGTTTTTAACCTTTTATTAATGTAAGCACATAGATTAAAGTCTGGATCTTGTTTATAACTGAATATACTACACTATACGGCTATATTTTTTCTATCTATGGATGGCATTGAGATAAATGAAGGCATGAGTGGAAGGAAGGGATAACTTGGGATCTGAAGTTAATCCTATGGGATAATTTCTGATGAATGAGGATCCACTGGAATATTTTCTCTGGAGGCTCTTATATCACTTATTTAGGGTAAGGGTTTGCAATTCCGCCACAGAGATGTGTCCACAGAGTGTTCATAGAGACATGTGTATATAGAAGTGTACACAGAGTGCTTCACTATTTCACGTGTTTTTTCACCTTTTTTTGTGGTGGTTTGTATTTGCACAGAAAAAGTTTTTTATTATTAAAAAGTTTTATGGATTAAAATATATTTAAATATGATTTAATCACTGTTATATTGAGGATAATACACTATACAGTTTTTTTCTTTGGAGGTATACGGCATTCTTGGAGATACACGGTGATTATGGATCAAAATTTGGAAGAATAATTTTTGGAGTTTTTGAAATAATTTGACTGACACTAAAAAGGTTTATTATTTACAATTGTGGACTTTCAAGGGTGAAAGTGGGACTTTTAAGTGTCAATATACAGGTTATTTATGGTATCACAGTTTATTATAGATATATTTTAGGATACTGATTTTTGTGTCACAAATAGACACATGACAGGTACTCTTTATGGAGGGATCTGGGGTCTATAAAATTCTAAATCCCTCCTCTGCACTTAAAAGCATTCAAAGCACCAAGATCGATCAAAAGTTTTTGAATGTTTTCAGTTTTTTTTAAAAAAATGGTGCTTAGTTTCAACCGGATGTATGTCAGGGACAGTCAATCAAAGCTGATCTCGGCTTTGTTCGGCTGTCTGGTCATTTGGCGAACATGCTTGCTGGTTGCTCGGGTCTCCCAGTGGGAAGGGAAATCCTGAGAGAGCAGCGGAAGGCAGTGGGAGCAATCGAGCAGCTAGTTAGCCACTCTGATTGCTTGTACAAGGGAGCTGACCGCTGGTTCTAAAAAATGGTACTGGCAGGCATCACTCTGGTGTAGCCACCGAAAGTCCAGAGAGATACGGGTTGCTGGTCTGGAAATGGATATTCTTCCTTAGATTTTGAAGCTCTGACTTAGCTAATAAAATTTATGTGTATCGCTTTCTTGAGGAGTCTCACAAGTCACTAACTGATCAGTAGTGGTGATTTGAATTTTTAGAACATTTATCGTTGCCAGAATGTGGCAGATCAGAAACCGGTAAGTGGCATAGTTGACCAGCTTGTGCCCAAGGCTGCAGAGAGCAATAACAGATGGGTCTATGGTGTGTAATTAACCTTATATCTCATTACAGCTTCATTTAGTTAACAACATCTGTATTAGAATTAGTACTTATGTTTTGTTTGGAAACAGCATGGAATTAATTGCAATTCTCTTTTAATGCTAGCTTCATTCAGAGTGTTTGTGCTCCATTCTTCTGCTCTATTAAGCAGGGTGACGTCCTCACTTAGTAACTGTCTCTATGGTGAATGCAACAGAGCACCTCTCTGATTTTTATTGGTATTGTCTTTCACAGCTAAACTTTAGCAGGAGCTGAAAATCACAAATTAGGAAATGAGCAGAATAACATTTTGTAAGTCATCTGTTAGGAGACAATGTGTACCTGTTTCGGGAGAACAATTACACTGTATTCAAACTAGACATAGGCATTAGATACAGTAGTTAGCAGATCATGAATACATGATTAAACCAAGCTTCCCGTGAACAATATATTCATAAACAGGCATGTGAATAATGACTTTAAGGGCTCTATCCCATCATCATGCTTTCTGATTGTATTTTGCTTAAAGCAGTATTAAAACCAAAAACAAACAACTATTATATTGCAGCTTACCAATACTTAGATGTGATGGCTATATTAGTTTTCTTTTTTAGGGCTTCCTTTCCTTTGTTTCAGACAGTGAGTGTGTTTTTTTGACAGAACAAGTTGTCCCAGAGATGTAGCAGTTAAAGCAGTCTTTCTCAAACTTTTCAGCATGGAGGAACCCTTGAAATAACTTTCTAGTCTCAAGGAACCCCTGTCAAAACTTACTATATCTGCAACTCATGATACATTAGTGAGATGGTCAGTGGCATGAATGCTCCTTACACTTTTGGTCATTGAGAAGAATTACCCTCTTACTGATAGCTAAAAAGACCCATTGGGGTTTATTTACTAAAGCTGGAGAGTCCAAAATCAGACTCCCTTCTACATAGAAACCAATCAGCTTCCAGGTTTCATTGCCAAAGCTTCATTGAACAAGCTGAGGTTAGAAGCTGATTGGTTTCTATGCAGAAGGGAGTCTGATTTTGGACTCTCCAGCTTTAGTAAATAAACCCCATAATGTCAATGGAAACTTATCTGAGAGGTAGAAAATGTTCACTGCTCAAGGAAACCCTAGAAAGCTCTGGAGGAACCCTGGTTGAGAAACCCTGAGTGTTAAGACAAACCATTTACCAGTGTGAGTGGTGCTTTCAATTATCAATTTTTTATTTATTTGAAAGCTTTATCCCAAAAGATAAAAAAAAAAAACTGTTGCTGTAATTGCTTAAAAGGTGTTAGCTGGAGTTTGGCTTCAATTTGTTTAGTGCATCTAAATCTGCTAATCTATCAAACACTCCCTTCTCCCAAGACTGACAATACTGCTGTCCAGAGATGTCTCTGTTGCTCCTTCATGCCAGAGTGGAGGCACTCTAACACGTCATTTTACAGCTTGTTTCTGCTGATTGATGCTTTTTTAATCTACTATGCTTGTAAGTGCATTTTTTTTTACCTAATAAATTAGCCTTCAACTTACTGCACTATGAGAGGCACCGCTTTATTTTCATATGAGTATACGTCAACCCCATAACACCGGGACGGCTTGAGGAGATTCAGTTGGTACACATGATCTGATCTGAGACACATGATGAAATTATATATATATTGGGCGTGTATTGACCCCCTATAATTAAGGGGTCAAAGGATCTGGTAAGCCTCCAATTTCATATCACGGTGGTACAAATTCATGTTGGTGGTTATATTGGAATGAAGATTTTCCATTACTCTTCACAGAACAAGGGAACTGTTCTATACACTTTATAAGGACTGTTTTATTTCTGTTTATTCAAATTATTTATTTTGTGGCAATGTTTCACTCTTGAGCACTTTTTTGTTTATCCTTTATTGTACAAACATTATTTGTATATTATTTATGAATTTTCTTGAGGTATTCATATTTCACTTAGCGCAACATGAACTTTTTATTTGACAAAAGGTGTGTTACTGGTCAGATTGCCAAATGGAAACAGAAAAAAAGCCTACAAAAAGGAAACAAATACAGCCACCGCATCTAATTATTGGTAAGCTGCAATACAGTATATTACATTTTGGGTTTTGGGCTATTATTATTATAAAGGATTTATATAGCGCTAACAGTTTGCTCAGCGCTTTACAATATAAAGGGAGACAATACAGCAACAATACAGGGTTAGGAGGGCCCTGCTCCTTGGAGTTTACAATCTACGAGGGAGGGGCTGGTGGTACAAAAGGTAATAACTCTGGGGGTTTAATGCCACTTTATTACATTTATTTATTATGATCATCAGCTCCATCTAGTGGCTATAATGCAGTATTTTTCCTGAAATACCTCAATCAGTACCACATTAGCACCCCTGTCAGTTTGTCTTGACCCTCCAACTGCTACATCTGCAGTCCAGCTTGTTCTGTTGAAATATAAAAGACTTACTGGCCAGATCACCAGAGGGAAATAAAATAAAAGCAGCCTAAAAAAGAAAACTGTTACAGCCATCACGTCTAAGAATAGGTAAGGGCAATATAATAAACTTTTGCTTTGGGCTTTAATACTGCTTTAAATGTACAGTGAAGACTTTATATGGCTGAGCTGAAATTTTGGACCTTTTGGAATCACTTCCAATTACTATTACTTTGCCTTTTTGCTCTCTTTTTTTTTTTTCATCTCAAATGTGCCCCAAACTGATCACAAACAATGGAAATTTTACTCTGGAGGCATAGTACCTTTGACTGGTGCTTATGTGCACATGCTCAAAAAATTACAGCAAAAATTTAAAATACGGGGTTAACCACTTCCTGTCCAACACATGTCCAGGGCAATTTTCAGCTTTCAGCGCTATCACACTTTGAATGACAATTGCGGGGTCATGCAATACTGTACCCATATGAATTTTTTACCATTTTTTTGAGACAGATAAAGCTTTATTTTGGTGGTATTTATTCACCGCTGGGATTTTTATTTTTTTTACTATGTAAATGAAAAAGTCCAAAAATTTTGAAAAAAAGTGTTTTTTTTTAATAAAATTTTGCAAATAAATAATATTTCATCCTAAATCTTGGCCAAAATTTATTCCTCCAAATTAGTTTATAACCAAACATTATAATTTTTAAACATTTTTTTTTACATTTTTATTTTATTTTTTTTTATATTATTTTTTATTTTATTTTTTATTTTTACATACTGTCACCCTAGCAGTACAGTGTCACCATGGTGACACTGTACTACTTGTGGGGGGTGATGAAGATTTTTTTTTTTTTTTTTTACACTGATTGCTTTTACACCCATATAGGATGTAAAAGCAATCATTTCTGCTTTCTCTGTGATTGGACTCACTGCGCCGTTTATAACAAGCTTGCTGCCTTGTACCTGGTACCTTTTTCATAGGCATTTTTTGAGATTTTAGTAAGCAATGGTCACAAGTGACATCTTGCACTTTGCATGGATCACTGATTCGCCAATCAGTGATCATGACCGGGACCCGTACAGATTCCCGTCCGACGATCGGTGTTTCACTGTGTCCCCCAGTGATCGCGGTGGTGCGCGTCCAGTCGCGCACAGCCTGCGTTTTGCAACCCGACCTTGGACTAGTGATAAACAGCAGGCGACGGCAAGAGGTTAACAGCTTGCAACCAGGGGCGGGACCATTTGGAAACTTGCAGGGCCAGGGTCCGTAGGGGGCCCCATGAATGCCCCTGGTATCTTTTTCAAGGCTTTTTTTGTTTGGACACAGGGGCCCATGATCCCCTATTGCCCGGGGGCCCCATGAGTTGTCAGTCCGCCCCTGCTTGAGTGATCGTGGAATCAGCTTTGGTTTGCAGCCTGTAAGGGGTTAACTGTGGCAGCTCTGTGCTAAAGTCAGAGATCGGCTTCTTCAGCCTGAAACTGGCAGTTGCTTCAGGGGATACATATATTCACGGGTCGGGACACACATTTTGCCACTACACCGGCACCACTCCTTCCTCTCTGGAGGGGTGACACCATGTGTTACCACACCAGGTGACACCAACCCTAGGGACGCCTCTGCCCTTCAGCGTGTACATGGGATCCCCTGCATCCCTCCAAACACGCTAGTCACCATGAATTTTCTTGCATGGGGTTCTTCCAGATATGCCCGGAACGTATACTGAACTTTTCCGGCCGCATGCGGCCTGGGGGCCGCAGGTTAGACACACCTGCTTTCGGCTAAGTTCACACCTATACAGTTTGCGTTTGATCCTTTTCTGCGGTGCATTTGCGTTTTTGCACATGCGGTTTTTATGCTTTTGGACGCATTTTTGCTGCGTTTTGCAGGGTTTTTTTTTTTTTCAACTTGATGCTAGGCAGATTAAACCGCAAAATGCATAAAAAAACGCATCAAAAATGTAGTACATGCTTTTCTGCAGCGTCTCCATTAAAGTTTATGTCTATAAAAATGCAATGTTTTGCATTTAAAAAACTCCCTGACCCTTTCCAAAAAAAAACGCACTGAGTGAAAACGCAGAGATGTGAACCTGTCCCATAGGAAATCATGTTAAATGGACTGCTGTGCATTTCTTCAAAACACAGCGGAAAACACAAAGGTGTGAACATAGACCTAAATAGTGATGTGTAAAACATTCATGAAATTTCCAATGGCATCCCATTATATCTGGAGCCCCAGACAGATGCCCACTCTGCTCAAAATATAATCTCTGTCACTGAGTACCTTTATCTCTTGCTGTAATGTAATATTAAAAAATTTGATCATGTAAGCCATTCTCTGTTGGGAGATGTAAGTGAGATAAAAATAACAGAAATATGCAAAAAAAAATCTATCAGGTACAATCTTAAAACACTTTTTCACTTCAACATTTATTTGTATTAGCTTTATTCCACACAATGATGAGTTTTGACGGCTGTTTTTCAAGCCACAACTGAACATTATTATTGAGGAGCAAAATTTGTTGAGATGGTAGTTTCACAGCATGAAAACCTATAATGAAACGGCAGGCAATTTAATATTCCCTCACTTAGTATATTATCTTTTTTTTAACTACAACAAAAACATGCTGCTACCATTTTCATTGCTTTCCAGAAGGGCGTAAAAAAGAATATCGACTCGAGTTTCAAAATGAAGGAACCTGAGGCATAAGGACATCCTTCTCCATTGCAATAATTTAATTATTCTGTTTATCCTGCAATAATTTGTTTCTGAAATATACTAATAGTAAAATGCTGCAAAACTTGGAGATGGCCAAGTGACAAGGATCTTTTCTCCTATGTAGTCTAGGTATAGTAGATAGCAAGGTGTCACTGCCCTCTACTGGCTGACTGAATGTTACTACAGAGGTAAGACCAAAAGTTGCTTCAAAAGGGGAAATATCATTCAAATTAATGTTACACCTTGACCTCTACCATATTACCAAAAGCCTGTGCTGCTGCTTCTGTATGATAAAGTCCATCTAAAGCCTTTTGTTAGTTTTTTTTTCTTTTCAGAGTTTTAAACAGGTATTTTCAATGCATGTCGGCATTTACTCTAGGTTCACACTGAATGAGACATTGAAATTGTGCTACTTCACTTCTAGTAGCATGAATTCAAAGCCATGGACCAGTGGGAATTCAGGTGTGACTTGCCTGACATCTGTGCGACTTCATGCACAGATGTCCATGCATGTTGCACCTGAAAATTGCCAAAAATAGCGCAGGAACTACTTTCAAATTTGGTTAGACTCCAATGGAGTTGTTTCATTGCCAGCAATAGGGTGCAATTTGTCATACAATTTGGAACAGTCAAATCGCATGAAAAGTCACACCGGTGTGAACCAGGTATTAAATGTCTTCAAAGAAATGTAATTTGTCTCTTTTAATGGCAAATGCAGCTGGCAAGTTGGATTTCTCTTCTGGTAAACAGTGCTTGAGAGTGATGGAAGGACTGAGTGATGTGTTTACATAAATTCCTTAAATGCCTGCAGATACAGCAATGTGCTGTCAATCTAAGGGGCCATAGACAGAGTGAGCTGTAGCTATTCATTGACAGGTCTATCAACAGTTCCAGCATCTAAAAAGCTGCAGCAACAGAAAAAAAACATTTAGGAAGTGCTTATCTAATGGTTCTACTGGCAGGATCAACTGGTATTTACAAAATTTTCTTGGAGGTACTGAAAAAAAAACAGAGAACACAGTCGTACTGGTATGGGAATCCCACATCACATAGGAGATTTTAAAGTTGGCAATTTGTGTCTGAGAGGCAACAAAGAGCCAGAAGTGAGTTTTTAGGAATGAGAGGAGAGAAGCGCCTCTAAGTGCAATATGTCACTTTATTAAAGAATATGTGTAGGAACACTCACATAGATAAGATTACTATGGGCATAAAAACGGTGGTAAACAGTAGGGTGATCATCAGGGTGAAGAGCCGTTATCTGCTGCGGTGTGGAGCGGTCAGCTTGCCGCTGGAGCCGCGTGGTAGCAGGAGGAGAGCAGCGGTGAGGCCGGCCAGCGTGCACGTCCTCTCTCTGAGCTTGGTGGAATGCACGCTGGAACGCAGCGGTGCAATGGCCGTGACGTCAGATACCCAAGATACTGCGAGCGTTTGCACTGCTGGCCGTGGAAGGCGGAAGTGCACTCCTTTCTCAAGCAGTACAATCAGCAGAGGTTCTCAGATCACCATATCACCATATCACATGGACAGAATGGACAGACATAGACTGGTGCATTGCAGCACTGGCCAGATTATTTATATTGCAGCTTATCGATTCTTACTAGATGTGCCAAACATTCCCTGTTCTGTTCACGGTTGAACATTCGCAACCGTGAAAGTTCAACGTGAACTTCGAACAGAGAGGAAAATTTACTAAGCGGTATCTTACCACATCTGAGTATGCAATAAGATACCGCGCAGCTACTAAAATACCGCATGAGCTATATTATTAAGTCATGCAGTATTTTAGCAGCAAAAACATTCTTTAAAAAAAAAAATTGCTCTGCTCTCAACCCTGGCTCCCGCCATCTGACAGCTGCGCCAGGATGATAGTTCTTAAATACTGTGATGATGTCACAAGGGGGCAGGGTCACCCGCCCATTGGCCAAAGCATTGCGCTGTGATTGGCCAATGCATTGCACCTCACAGTGCAATCATAATGCACTGTCAGGTTGCAGTCCATTGTGGGGCACGGCAGGTGAACAGCCCACTGCCAAACACCCTTACCGTTTAAGTGTTCGCCGAACATGCAAACGGACAAAGTTCGAATCGAACATTATGCTCATCACTAATTCTTACATGTGGTGGCTGCATTGGTTTCCTTTTTAAGCTTTTCCTTTTATTTTTATATTTTGATCTTGCCAGTAAATCTGTTATTTTTCAATTTCTGCAACAGACCAAGCTGTCCAAGAAAAGTGTCAGTTAAAGGATTGAAGAAAACCTTTAACACTGACCGGAGTGCTTACAATGGTCACCTTTTATCCATTTGTATCAAACTTTTATCCCAAAAGGAAAAAAAAAGACTTTTGCTGTAACTGCTTAACCACTTGCCATCCTGAGCATTTACCCCCCTTCCTGACCAGGTCTCTTTTTGGTATTTGGCACTGCACTATTTCAACTGGTAATTGCACAGTCATGCAATGCTGTACTCAAACAAAATTTCCATCCTTTTTTTCACACAAATAGAGCTTTCTTTTGGTATTTGATCACCTTTGCGCTTTTTATTTTTTTTGCGCTATAAACAAAAAAGACAGAAAAGTTTGAAAAAAAAACTATATTTTTTACTTTCGGCTATAAAAAATATATAGTAAACTTAAAGTTAGTCATAAATTTAGACCAAAATGTATTCTGCTACATGTTTTTGGTAAAAAAAATCTCAATAAGTGTATATTGATTGTTTGTGTGAAAGTTATAGAGTCTACAAACTATGGTACATATGGTATATACTGCAATTTAGGCCATTTTTTGCTATACAGCCCTGCACTAGTTTAATTGGCAATTGCATGGTCATGCAATACGGTACATAAATTAAATTTATGTCCTTTTTTTCACATAAATGGAGCTTTCTTTTGGTGATATTTGATCACCTGTGTACTTTTAATTTTTCACTCTATAAACGATAGAATACCGAACATTTTCTCATTTCTGTCATAAAAAATATCTAAAAAACTCAAATTTCATTATAAAGTTAGGCCAAAGGTATTCTGCTACATGTATTTGGATAATCCCAATAAGTGTATATGATTGCTTTGTGTGAAATTATACATCACAAACTATGGTATAGATAATGGACTTTACACAGCTTTTACTTTCTGCTGCCTATCACATTTCTTGAGGTGCTAAAATACCAGGACAGTACAAACACCCGCAAATGACCCCTTTTCGGAAAGTAGACACCCTAAGCTATCTGCTGAGAAGCATATTAAGTCCATGGAAGATTTATTTTTTTCCACGTTTTTGGAAAATGACAAATACTTTTTTTCGTTTGCTTTTTTTTTTTTACACAAAGTTTTCACTTAAATGATATATTGATCATACAAGCCATGGGTATATGTGGAATTACACTCCAAAATACATTCTGCTACTTTTACCGAGTATGGGGATACCACATGTGTGAGACTTTTTGGGAGCCTAACCACATACAGGAGCCTGAAATCCAGTGACCACTTTAAAAAAAGCCTGAAGGTGCGTAACTTCCTCATTTCACTTCCTCACTACCTATCACAATTCCAGAGGTCCAGAAATGCCAGGATAGCACCAACCCCCCCCCCCCAAATGACCCCCTTTTTAGAAAGTAGACACCCCCAAGGAATTTAGAAAGAGGCATAG